TAACGTCACCTTCGCTTTACCTCTCTCCACCGACTCACGATGGATCGTCGACGACGGCAACTACGGCCGGCGCGTGAAGCTCACGTGCGTCAATTGGCCGTCGCATCTGGAAACTGCGGTTGCGGAAGGTTTAAGCAAGCAGCCATTAGATTCGATCGCCGAGAAAATCGTTTCGATGGGTTTCAATTGCGTTAGATTGACTTGGCCTCTCTATTTAGCTACCGATGAATCTTTCTCTGGTGTTATGACAGTGAGACAATCTCTACGCAAGTTTGGTCTTTTCGAAGCTATTTCTGGGTTTCAGACCAATAACCCTTCAATTCTTGATCTTCCCCTTATCAAAGCTTTCCAGGTACTAAAATTCGAATTTTCCCGGAAAAAAATTTGACCTTTTTTCAGAATTTTCCCGGAAAGATTTTTGACTTTTTGTCTTCTTGATCCTAGAATAGTCAGGAAATTAGAGAAATGTTTCTTCTTTTTTACTGGGTTTCTTGAATATGCATTGATTCTAAAGTTTGAGTTTTTATTGTCTGATTAGTCTACTCTTCAACATTTTTCCTGGAAAGTTTTGAGTTTTTCTTGTTGTGTTGTTGCTTTAGCTTGTTGGCTGATTTGTCTACTCTTCAATTAGGGTTTGAGGATTGAGAAAGATGAGAGTTTTGTTGTTCTTATTTATAAACAGGAAGTGGTTTCATGTCTTGGAAATCACAGAGTAATGGTGATCTTAGACAATCACATAAGCCAACCTGGTTGGTGTTGTAGTGACAATGATGGAAACGGGTTTTTCGGCGATAAACATTTAAACCCTCAAGTTTGGATTAAAGGGCTAAAGAAAATGGCATCAATGTTTGCTAATGTTTCATCAAATGTGGTTGGTATGAGTCTAAGAAATGAGCTTAGAGGTCCTAAACAGAACATCCACGATTGGTACAAGTATGTAGAATTTTTCAAATTTTCTTTCATTTGTTTTCATTCGAATCGATAGTATGAGAATGTAGTTAGTGAATGACCCTTTATTGGTTGGATTGGGAATGGTTAGGTATATGAGAAAAGGCGCTGAAGCGGTCCACTCAGTGAATCCGGACATTCTTGTCTTTGTCTCGGGTTTAAATTACGAGACTGACTTATCGTTTCTCCGAGAGAGACCATTTGAAGTTAGCTTTAAGAGGAAAGTGGTGTTTGAGATCCATTGGTATGGATTTTGGAACTCTTGGGAAGGAGATAACTTGAACAGGATTTGCAGGAGAGAAACCGAGAACATAATGAAAATGTCGGGGTTTCTACTCGAGAAAGGGATTCCGTTGTTTGTTAGCGAGTTTGGGGTTGATCAAAGAGGGAATAATGCGAATGACAATAGGTTTCTAAGTTGCTTTATGGCATTAGCAGCCGATCTTGATCTCGATTGGGCGCTATGGACTCTTGCAGGAAGCTATTATATAAGAGAGAAAACTATTGGATATGATGAAACTTATGGAGTTTTGGATTGGAATTGGTCAAGCATAAGGAATTCAACCATTTTGCAGATGATTTCTGCAATTCAATCTCCTTTTCGAGGTACACAATTTTGAAAACTTTTCTCCAAACCTACTAATATTTTATGTTTTCCTCTAATCCCTTGATAAATGACAAAATCAAACAACTTTGCAATCTTCAGGACCAGGTCTAATGGAAACTCACCCAAAGAAAATAATATTCCATCCTTCGACTGGACTTTGCGTAGTGAGGAAATCCTTGTTTCAACTAAAGCTCGGTTCTTGTGATAGACCAGAAAGCTGGAGACTTTCTTCTCATCGAGTTTTATCACTAAGAGAGGAACAAATCTTCTGCTTAAAAGCTTATGAGAAGGGAAAGTCTGTGAAGCTGCGTGTGTTTTTCTCTGGATATTACTGTTCAAAATGGAAACTTCTGTCTGAATCAAAAATGCAGATCTCGTCGGTTACAAGAAGTGGAAACTCTGTTTGTTTGGATGTGGATCCGGAGAATAACAACATTGTGACGAAAAGCTGCATATGTTTACGGGGAAACTCGAGCTGCGATCCAAAAAGCCAGTGGTTTAAGCTTGTTACTAGCACGAGAAGCCGATTTAAACCAAAACCATTTCTTCAATTTAGTCCAAAGAAGACATTTCTCAGTCTAATAAGGTAATCAAGGTACTCACTAACCGGATTGTACACATTTAGCTCTCAGAGTGATGAAAATGTTTATAACATAGACAAGTTTTTTTTTAAGATATGTTCCTTTTGATTTCAATTCTTGCTTTGTATAATATTGTAATCTGTATTACACATAATACACACTGTACATTTTACATATTACATCTCCCTCATAAACAAATATCTTCAGTAACAAGTTCAATGGAACATTTTAGCTGTTTTTTCTCCGTTACTCATGATTCTTGTTTCTTCTCCTCAAGAGATCTCGGCTTGATCCTGACTTTAAGACCATGTTTCATATACAAAGTCGTTGTAACTCGCGGAATAACAACATGATCTTGATCAACCTTGATTGAGTAATTCAACAAGACCGAAGCAGCCACCATTTTCATCTGCAAGTAAGCGAATGTTTTCCCTAAACAAAGCCTTGGACCGGCATTGAAGACGACGTATTTAAACTGATCATCACTCACATATTGTCCTCCTTGTATCCATCTCTCTGGTTTATACATTTCACAGTCTTTTCCCCAAATCGATTCCATCCTTCCCATCGCATAGATCGCAAAGTAAACCCGTGAACCTTTTCGCAAGAAAGTTCCATCCGGAAACACGTCTTCTTCTACCGCTTGTTTCATTTCCATTGGAATTGGTGGATAGAGTCTAAGAGATTCTGACAATGCAGCTTGTAGATAAACCATATCGTTAAGTTCCTTGACTGTGAAGACACAAGTCTTTGTTTCTCCGGTTTCAAGACTATTGTTCTCCTCTCTTTGGCTCAAGATTTCTCTGATTTCGCAGAGGATCTTGTTTTCGACTTCCGGATGTTTTGTTATCAACCAGAAGAACCAAGTAAGCGCGACGGAACTCGTGTCTCTTCCCGCTAAGATGAAGCTTGTGCAGAACTGTCTGAAAAACTTGACGGTGTATCGATCATTTTCATCGCCTCTTTTATGACTTTCGATCTGGATTATCCTCGAGAGAAAATCAGATTTGTTATTCACTAATGTTCCTTCATCTTTAAGCATCATGATTCGGTCCACGACCATTTTATCGACAAACCCGTGAACCGTCTCAACCGCGTTCTTCATCCTTTTCTCATACCCTATATCGAAAAACTTCATCGGTTTCCACACAAAAGGTGGAAGCATGAACCGAAACAGAGTAGACTCTGTTGCTTCTTCAAAAGCTTTAGCGAATGCAACTTCAGGAAGATCATCATCCAAAGTCCCTGGATCATCGCCGAGACCCGCGATGCAGACATTATCAAACGTTAACCGTAAAAGAATATCTTGAAGATCAAAAGCTTCTTGTGACTTTGAGAAACTCTCCATCACTTTCAAGAGCTTCCTCTGAACCAAATCTCTCGTCGTCTGAAAAGAATGCTCAACAAATCGAGTCGAATGCATCTCGGTTATAATAATCCGTCTCTGTTCTTTCCAAGATTCATCATCCGCGTTAAAGATACCGTCCTCGAGTAAATCGCGGAATCTCTCTTTGTAAAACTCTCCTTTAGGGAAGTTTTTGAAATTGGTTTTGAGCATGTATTCAACATTTGCAGGTACACTAGTCATGGCTCCATAAGATCCACTAAACCAGGTTCCTCGGTAAGGAAACGTTCCTCGGCTTTTCGTCAAACACCGTGTGACCCATCCGTACAAATCATGAACATGAAAGAAGAACTCGGGAGTGATTCCAAACACTGGCCATTGAACTGGTCCGCCATTGTTGGTTAGCTTCGCTTGCAAGCAACCAAAAAGAAAAAGACCTAACAATGCAATTGATACATCTTGAAGACAGAGATGAGAAGAGATACAATCTATCAATAACATTACAGAGTTTGTTGTATTAAACATCATCTTTTTGTGTAATTTTTCTCAGTGATAAACACTCTTATGTAGTAACTAAAACTACAAACATGAAAATTGTTTTTTACGGTTTTTTAGATTATGTTTCGTAAAGATCTGGAAATCGAAGATTAAAAGAGAGAATTTGTCATGTGGTTGGTGCTTTTTGTTTAAGACGACGACGTTTTCTTGTTGTATACGTAAAGTAACTAGGGTGCTTGAAAATGCTATTTGTGTGTGCGATTTGTGGGTTTGTCAGTGACATAATTATGCTTCAAATGCAAAATTAGCATGTCATTTCTTAAATCGCTTTCCCAAATTTCTTCTCATAAGATTGATTTCAAATTCGGTTATACGATTAAGAACTTCTAACTTAAAATTAGGCTTCCAAAAGTTCTTTTGCTAACTAGAGCCCAATTCTGGTCAATAAACTGGGCCTATATTATATATTCCAATGTCAGACTCCAACTTACCGTTTAACTAAACTTTTTTCTGTTTCAAGATAGATCTGAATACTAATTACTACAATTGGAAATGCAACTTGTGTGTTGTTATGCAGTTCCGTAAGAAACTAGAAGAATGAGTGCCTACAAATGCAAAATTTGCATGTCATATGTTAAACTCTTATAATGACAAAACTAATAAAACACTTAAAAGTTACAGTTTATAACCAAACTTATCCAAATAAACTTGGATAGACTTGTCAAAAGCCCTTAAGGCGATCTTGTATTGCACCTGAATGTATTAATCATACCTTATTCACTTGCCCCATTATCTAATCAAACATTGACTCTCAGTCTCACAAATACCATGGTTGCCTCTGATCACACTCACATATGATTGTGAAGCAACTATTTTAGCAATTTTTGTGATGCAAGGCAAAGACTTCGATCAAGGAAAACCACAAGTAAGTGTTTCGGAGTCCACCATTCATGAACACACCATTAAATCAACCCTCCACCACTACAAATAGTGGTTGAGTGGTAAGGGACCATGAAGATTTTGTTAAAGTATTGGGGATTGGTAGTCAGATATACTCAATTTTAGTCCTCTCATTTTCAATTTTGAATCGAAATGCGAAGATTAAGAAACTTTTTTCGAGATTTAAAATTTGGGATAAGATTAGCATCGGGAAAACAAAAGCTTCTGCTGAAACCAAATTTTACGAACCATCTAATCAACTTTTGTTTCAACATAGAACTGAATATATCACCTACAAACGCCAAGCGAATTTAGCATGATTCAAAAACTAACTCTATGAGAAGCAATCAAAGCAAAAACCAATCAAACAAAGATTTTGTAATTTCGATAAATATATGTACCAGAAGACAGGTAACACTGTGAAAATTAGATATAAACACAGTGCTGTTAAATTCTGGCCAGTTTGATCTCTGCTCCGGAAACTTGAACATCTCTCACTTCTTTTTGTTAATCTAAGAGAGTTCACCATTATGAAGCAACTCCCATAATATCCAAACACTACCGATTAATTTC